TTATATATTTTTATTTGATGTTTTGAAAACCTTTGGTAAATCCTAAATATATTCGAATCCTGAACAAGGAATGTTCACATGTTTATTGCATTATAAGCTCTATCTAAAAGACTGTTAGAATTATAGACGAGACATTTTACTAAGTATTCATACAAGTCTTCATAAATCTTTCGATGTTAAGTATTTTATAAAAATTTAAACATCGTTCTACGAACTTTTGGTCAGCCCTAAGTATGTCAACAAACATTCATTATCATTTGAATCATATTTAATTAAATCAGTTCAACATGTATCAAAATATCCTCTGTTTATTCAACAATTATATTTAATTCATAAATAATGACCACTCGTTGACTAATTAGCGTGTATTAGCTAATTAGCTAGTAATGATCTTTCACTGCTGCGGATGTCACATGTTGAAGGCTGCTATATACTACATCGTTATTATTATCGTCATTCACATCCTTCAGATAAATGAAAACATATAGAAATTGAAAGAAAATCATATACAAAAGGGTCATTGAACTCAATTGAATCATTTTATTTTCAAATGATGTCAGTTCCAGACAGGACGGGAAACCATTTATGTTTTTCCATTTAATTTTCACTATATACTAGTAGATCAGGAAGATAAAGACGCTGTAGATATTCCTATGAACCAGATAATATTAATGATTATTGAAATTTATTTGATTAATTCGATTATTTATTAATTGATTAAGATTAATATATAGATTTTATGTAAAAGAATGAATCAACTATAAATTATGTATCTTTAATATTATATTTAACACCTTTAAAATCGTATAAAGTTGCTTTTTTTCAGATTCGGAGTTTAGTATTAAATTGTTTTGATAATCAAGCTGATAGATTAATTAGTTTATACTGTTCTAATCCTATTTTTAAAGAATTTTATTATTTTTCTTGTTTAAGTTTTCGGGGTTTGCTTTTTTAAGGGAATTTTGTTCTGAAGATTTTATTATTGAAAATATGTTAAAGTCTAATATGAGTTTTGTTGAAAGAATATTCTTATTAATAAAATTTAGATTTGAGACCATATTGTGATTTAAAATTAATAAAATCGAAAATTGAAATAAAAATATGTTATTTTAATTAAAATTTTTATAATATTAATTTTCTTATTAAGAATTGTATTAATAATTACTATGGTGAATCATTGTATGAACAATCAATCATTTTTTTAGCAGTTAATCAAATATTTGTTCTCAACAAAATATTTTAAATTATAGAAAGAAAGACTATACATGACTTTCTATATCAATAACATGACTAGAACGAGCAGAATTTAACGGAATTTTTATTTCAACATTTAATTTATGTTTTTACTATAAAATGAAGTTCCATAGGATCTTTCTGTTCTAGATCATAGTAACAGATAACGTGCTCTAAATGATACTCTTTGTATTTTTGCATAACGTTGTTCTTTTTTTATCGTGAGGACTTGAAGCTGCGCATCTTCATTTTTTTCTAACCCTCAACAGAATTTTTTTCAATTTTAGATTGGAAATATAAACATCTTGTAGCTTTTGAAAAGCTCGATCAACTGATTATATCTAAAAGTCTTCATAACCACAAACGGCTGGAGCAGAGCTTTATCAAGAACCATTGTTTTCAAAACGGCAGTTTTGAGATAATTAAGAAAATTTTCTAACTTGTTCAATATCCAACATTATGAAATCAAATTTGTTTTTCAAAGTAAAATAATTCTTTTGTTAGATATAGAGGAAGTTCAATAACTTCGCTTTCTTCCCCTCAACCAATGCGAAATAGTCAAGTTCTCCCTTTGTGTTGAATATGGATAAAGCCGGCTTTTGTGCTAAAATACCTCTTGCAGGCTAATCTATGGTACTTATCCACACATACCCATATCTATTCGTACCTACTCAAGCCTATATGCATCATAGGACAAGCTGGACAATACATACGCTAATATTGTGGATAGCTCTGTAGAGAACACCGACCGAAGGCAGGTGTGGGTGTTAGTAAGTCCGATTAGTAAGTAAAAATCGAACGGAGAAAGGAAAAAGAAGAGAATGAGAAGCTTCTCATTCGATTTCTTCATGCTTTTGTTTCTGAGCATGACTAGCAAGCTTTGTGCTACTGTTTTTCGGAATGAAACAAATGAACAAACAAAATGTTGGTAATTATTTATCACAATGCAAAGCTTTATCGATTTTGAGCATCTGTGGATATAGTTTTCAGTCCATAAAAATGAAATAAAAATATTACTACGTGCGTACTGAGATGCATAAAACGTTCTAAGCAATTCAGCACCAACTATTAAACTTATTCCATTCGCCTCGTAGACAAAACTCGTGTGGTCTTCGTATTTTGACCACGAACGGCCATGCTTCGTAAGAAATATTATGGTAAACTAAAGTCGCTTTCAATTTACACTCTGGATGATGGAACCTAGACCCGCAAACCTGCACCGGCAAATTGGGAATATCCACCAACTTCATGTATGCACTGGCAAACTGCCTAGGAATGATAGCAAAGAGATCCGATATACCGTAGTCTTTTACTCCACAAAAGGCATCAATTTTACGGAACTTTTCATCTGCCTCGCCGTAACTTGGTGGAAGGTCCTGCAGACACTCGTAATAGGGGCTTACGAGAACTCGATCGGTCGGCCATCTTTCGAGAGGTGGAAGCTCTTTGACAATCATCAAGTCGGGACGAGTACGGACAACAAACTCGTATTTCATACCTCTCCTTTTCTCCTCTTCTTCGATCATTGTCATACATATTTTCCATTTTTTATAACCTCCTGGATCATATCGCATATTTAGGTTATTCGTCCACTTGAGAGGATTCAGCCAGCTGGTTGGATTCAGCCACCTGATTCGTATTGGGTTTATTGTCGCCAAAGCTCTTTTATATGTGGTTTCATCTGGTTTCAGCACTTCGATTCCATGAAGTTTGTCGCTCCCACCCATTTGAAGCACGGCCAGTACGTCGCCCGGAAAGTTATCCAGGACCACTTTCTTGTATGTTTGAAATACTTCATCATAATAAAGCGTTCTTGGCTCTCCTGTCATACAATGAGCTATCAGCGGTACACGCTTGGTCCGCTGACGGATATCCAAATGGCTCCGCAACAAAATTACATAACCGCCATTTACGAACATGTAAAGATAGATGGTAAAGAGCAATAATACCGTGATGACTGTGAGCAATGCTGATGTTTTGGTGCAAGAGTGTAGTTTGTGGGTGTATGGCGCATCTTCAGAGAAACCTTGATTCATCCTTTCAAGTTCAAGAAGCAATATCAGCCAATACAGGGATGGTGAATTTGATAAGTCAGCTGAGAGTTACTTTACGTCTTAATTATTATCACTGCAGTGACCGACTACCTTGAAATCGATGCTCAGAATGCACATCAATAATGTGAGACATAGTTCAATCAAAACTATATATTCTGGATCCGACTTGGGATAGCAATTCCTAAAGCCAGAAGGAAAACGAAAGGTTTGCAGCAAAGTATTTTACAGCATTAGCACCCACCATACCGGAATAGAAGAGGACTTGGTTTGTCTGCATACTATTTTCAATGATCGATAAACATAAAATACATTGCGCTCACAGGGCTCCAGTAGGTATACCGAAATATTTTCTCTATTGGGTAACGATTTTTGACACAAACGTAAGTTAAGATTGTCAATGCAGCTGTATAGAATCTTATAATAATAAATTCTGATTATTTTTTTAAAAATACAGCCATATTTCGACTTTTATAGTCATTCTCAAACAATACATAAAAGAAACATACAGACATGAAGTAAGACACACAGTAAGAGTATATGTCGGTTTTCTTTCGTTCACTCGAACACGACGAACAAACACATCAGTTTTCTTCTTTCCTTTCTTCTTTTAAAAACATACGCACATTTTAAAATATGAACTATTTCCTCGAAATCTTTTTCAATGATCGATAAAGATAAAACAGGTCGCGGCCAGAGTGCTGCATTAGTTATGTATGACTAAGAATGCCTCCCTAGACAGTGTGTAGGGAGGCATTCTTAGTCATACATAACCATTTCTGATCATGAAAAACTTGATGCCTGTTATACAATAGGGGAAGATCGCGCAAGAATCTGACTTCATAGCTAGTTTAAACCATTTAATCTGATCTGTTACTTAACTGAAGTTGGAAGTCACATATATTACACATGATATTATTTTGGTTTAAGCGAGGTTCCGTGAAACTGAGTCGCATGACGTGTATTTATATCATATCCGACTACTTTTACGCTTTTTGAATTCTCACGTTGAAAAATTATTGAAATTTTCATAAAAAAACTGGCAATCAACTAAAAATTTGGAAATGCACATCGAACCAGTTTTTGATCCTGAATACGATATTTTAATTACATAGAAGTTGAGTTTTGTTTGAGAAAATCCAGAATTACGTTCACAATTGCGACTTTTTCACACTTCTAGATTTTTCGACACGAAAAATCTGTTTTGAAAAGTTAAAAAACACTTTTTTGTATTTAGCTCGACACTGGCTGTTCAATAGTGTATAGTATGCCACCTTTGCCTTTTCCCATTGCGACACTTTGTGAAGAAATGTGCGATTTTTTTTGATTTATTATTTTTTTTCATAGAAAAATCAATTTAAATCGATTTTTTTTGTTATTAAAAATGTTAAAAGTTAATAATTGATGTATTATTTTTTTTACTCGAAAAATTAATTTAGATCGATTTTTTCTTTTCATAGCTTGTATACAGTGCGAACTCTCGATCAAGCGATTTCAGCTTCAGATTAAAATCGGCTTTTTTTAGGGACGCTTTAGAATACCCCCTTCAAAGTTATGAGCGCTGGGACGCGATATAAGAATCGGGTCCTCTATTGTGTCCATCCCTTTAGTTTCATTGGAAAAGCAACCGGGACGGAACCGAAACAACTTTACGGGACCGAGACCACAACCGGGATTGAAAATCCTTGGTTTCGCCCATATCTAATCCAACCATGTATAAAAGGCGTAAAAATGAAAAGCGCTCGACGTTTGAATTTCCTAAACCTTACTATTCATCAGATTTTAAGTGTTTTATCAATGATAAGCAACATTTATTTGTAGAAACATCAAATTTCATGAATATGTTATATCAACTGGAACCGGTTATTGACAGTTGTAAAATGCGTATTCTTTATTAATACATGTCTAATTATTTTAAAAAAATATACATCAAGTTGACTTTTTATTGTTACAAAATAAATGCAAAAAATAGAATAACATTACATTTGTGTTTAAAATAAAACATAAATAAAATGTGTCTATATTTTTATTACTGAATGTAGATAAGTTTGATGTATACTTAATAAATGATCTTGAATTCGTTTTAAATCAACTTCTGTACATGTTTCATTTTCGTTTTTTTCTATCAATAATTTAATAAAGTTAAGTGATAAATTTGTATAGTAAGTATTTGGATTAATTTGAAGAAGATAGTCAATGACGGTATCATCTTCTAAAATTTTTGCTAAACGAGAATATTTCCACGATACTTTATCAATATAATTTGAAATAAACAACATATCAACTTTTTTATCTGTTGATTTTACTTTTTTTGTTGATTTTTTACTAACTATTATCGTCCGTTTTGATTTTTTATATTCATCTAAAGATAAAATATATGTGAAAATAATAATCATCTATTTGGAAAAAAACATGAAAAAAAGTTACCTTTCGACGTAAATCTTAATAATGATTGATGAATTGATTGAAGAATACGTGAAATTTTTCTAGACATTTCTGATATATTACTATTATTTATATATTTTCGAATAAAAAGATAAATTTCAGTAACTGGTGCACGTTTAAAAAATGAATTATCATCCGTATCTGATAAAAATTCAATAATAGAATTAAATTCTTGATCAGTTAATAAATATTTTAGATATGGATGATTTTTATAACGTTTACTAATTTCATGATTAATACGTTCTTTTAATGTTGATATTTTACTGTATAATTCTCGAGCTTTCAAATTCGTTCGATAAACACTAAATATGAAAAATAAAATAAAAAATAAAAATGAGTAGTAAAAGAAGTTATTCTATTATAGAATATATATATATACTGTCGTGCATTTCTATTTATACGTCGAATAATACGTCCATGAACAACAACCAATTGTTGTGATACACGACGACAAATAAATTTGTATAAACCAGATTCTGGATCTGAATTTAAATGTTGAGTAACAAATTCATGAATATCATTATAGGATGCACGATTTCCCATTGTTAATGGATCAGGATTAATAAGAAATTTCATCAAATTTGGATGTGTATGAATCTCTTTTAAATAATTATGATCTATAGAATGTTTCTGTAATATATCCAGAGCTATCTGATGATATTCAATAAATTGTAATTCTTCTATTATAAAGTAAACAAAAACCATAAAAAGATTATCTACAGTTCAATACAAAATACTTTCGTTCTCTTAATCATACTTTTACAAGCTTCAATTCAAAGACTGTACAACAAAGCGTACGAGAGAAGCATTTCCAAGTCATCAATTACAAGATTATAACTTGCAAAAAGTTCTGCACACTTGAAAAACTCCAACATGTATGATTTTGGTGCACTGATCGTCTGAAAGTTAAATTGCAACTTAATATCCATAATTTTCCCGTTTTTTCTGCAAGTTAACTTAAGACCAGTGCATCAGAAAACACAGAATTTCAGAAATATTTTTTCGGATAAATTGAACTTTTTGCAAGTGATAAGTCCTCCCCCAAGTGGGACGTTGGCTTTTCAACGCAACATATTCTACATTGTAGAGCGTCATGCGCTGATTACGACAATAATTTTCTTTTTTCTCAACGGCGCTTGGCTACAGAATTATAACATTTTTGACGATACAACGATATGTTTTTGAAAAATATATTTTATCTCAGACACTATTAGACGTTTAGACTTAATAATTTCATATTTTGATTTCGCATAGCTGAAAGTCTATTATTATTATGTACAAAGATCATTCTTTACTAACATAAGTAGATTTTTAATTAGCAATAATATGGTTTAACAGGCTGCTATATGTGATGACAAAAAAAATTATCACATCTTCGTAATTATTGCTGCCAAAGTGACGTAATTTACAATGGTGAAGATTTGACATATGAAGAAAAAGTGGCATCAGATTCATGATCACCATTTAATTGTAAATAAAGACTTTTGGCTATGTGAAATTAGAATATGAAATTATTAAGCCTAAACGTCTAATCCAAGTCGATTTTTTTTCCACGATTTTTGTAGAAATGTGCGTTTTTGCACTTTGTGGGCCACGCTAACGCAACGTCAGAAAATCCATGGTTCTTAAATGCGTTTTCTTCCGCTGTATTTTTTTCATGCAAAAATAAACAAAAAAATGATAGTCTTTTGTCGCAGAATCTTTTTTTTTGCGTTATACTATGTGTGCTTTTTCTATACAATTTTCGCAAACAAGTTTTTGGGTTTTACATTGCAAAAAAAAAAGATAACTAATGAGTCATCGATGAGCCATCATAACTAGTGTATAATTTGAAAAAGCGGAATATATGGAACCTTATATTCATATAAATAGTCCTTTTCCACTGAAATGTTACTTAGAGACTTTTCCTAAGTGGACTCCTCTTAGCTTGGAAGAGATTGATCTGCAGGAAACATGAAGGTTCGATGAATCTGTCCGCTGATTTTCTACGAATCACCCCGAATCACCCCCCTAATTATTGTTGTAATTACGGATAATACTTCATGTATCAAAAACCATGAAATTTCTATTTTTCGTTACTTCGTACAATTTTTGTTTCTGTGATAACACGCATAAAAAACTTGATGCATGTGATGTTTCGTGAGACATGGAAATTTTACTACGGATTTTTGCAAAACAACTGACGCGAATTTCTACAATTATTTGCATTAAATGTCTCTCAAAAAATCGACTTGTCACTGAATAGTGACTGACGAGGTAACTTCCCCAAGTGTGAAATCGCCTTTTCCATCATTCGCTCCATGTTTTGGGTATTCGATCACGCTGATTCCGAATATCACTCTGGCAGCTACCCTTAGGCCTTCAGAGACACGTTTTCTGGAAAACCACTTTTTAAAAACTCTAGAAAACAACCAAAACCTTTCTTAACGAGACATGCTTGCAGCCCGCAAATTTCTGATTAAAATGAGATATCTCTCAGCCCTACATGACCTTTCTTTGCAAAGCTATCGAATTTACCAGAAAAGCCCTAAATGTTCATTGTCAGCTCAAAGCTACAAAAAATGAGGAAAATATTAATTTAGGGCTTTTCTTGTAAATTCGATAACTTTGCAAAGAAAGGTCGTGTAGAGCTGCGAGATATCTCATTTTAATCAGAAATCTGCGGGCTACAATCATGTCCCATTAAGAAAGGTTTTAGTTGTTTTCTGGAGTTTCTGAAAAAGTGGTTTTTCAGAAAACGTGTCTCTGAAGGCCTAAGAACAGCTGGTATGGTGAGATTCGGAATCAGCGTGGTTGAATTCCTATAACCAACTGGGTTTGATGGAAAAAGCGATTTCACAATTGGGGAAGTTACCTCGTGAGATAAGATTTATTTTTCAAAGACATATCGCTGTAGCGTAAAATAAAAAAAAATGTTATAACTCTGCAGTAAAGCGCCGTTGAGAAAAGTCATAGTCGTAATCAGTGCCGTAATTACGCTCTGCAATATAGGATATATCCCACTGAAAAGTTGGTGTCATACTTGGGGACCTTCCCTCGTTAGAATATAAAATCATATCGATATTTTATACCAGGGTAGCGTATTATCAGTTTTGTACTTACCATTTCTATTCTTTTGTTGTTCATCATCAACAACAGATAGATCATGTACTTTTGTCTGATCTAATTCGATCAATAATGATGTGTTTTCTTTGTCATTCGACGATAGACTGATTAACGACACTCGGGATGGTGAAGAATGAGTTGCAACTGAAGACTTCATGTCATTCTTTTCGATCGATGTACATGCAGTTTTTATTTGTTGTTTCCTTCGGATAGATGTTGCTGGTGTTGCCTCTGGGATAAAAAAAAATATAACACAATCGAGTACTGTTTATTCGAGTTCAGAGTTTCAGACTAACTCGCTGTTATTTGAAAAAAGACGTTTTACTTTTATTTATTCTTGTCATTTTATGCCACTGTTCTTGTTGTTCTGCTTCTTCTTCGTCAGTGGTAATATCGAAACCATCGTCAGTATGTTTTAATAACTGTTGCTCTTTCTGTTCACTACAATATTTCACGCCTATTTTGTATAAATGAGAAAAAAGAATTAATTCAACTTAACATTTATTTTCATTTTAATAGAACGGAGAAACCGTTTTTTGGTAGCATTTCTAACTGCTGACATAGCTTAAATGTTTCTTAACTAATCATAATACACTCAAGGGCAAAAATTAGTCATTCCATTTCGTAAATGATAAACAACACCAAAGCCATTAGATAAATACAAGCTTTAAACTATCGGCGTATCTAATCCAGTGCTGTATGCATACAAAATTGCTATTACCTAATTCGTCATTATTAAATGTTGAGTTTATACTCTGGTTCTTCACATTTTCTTTAATCGACGGGCTTTGTTTTCCTTCATCTAAGTGGAAACAACAAGAGATCACTACTCTATTTTACAAAAACGTCTTCTCCGATATTTCATTGAAATGTTTATCATACGGAAATTATTCACTATCACTTTTAGCTATGAGATAGACTCCATTACATATTTAGCAGTTCAGATCGAATGTAAGTATTATCTAACTTTGCATTAAAAATACTTTTAGTAACTATTTCAGAAAAACTTTTAATAATTTAAAGCTTCTTCTCTGTTGATTTTTTAGATACAAATAGTTCTGTCTAATTTTTACCCATATTTGATTTCACTAATTTTTGTTTCTTTTTTTCAAAATATATTTCACTATTCTCGAATTCTCGTTTTCTATAGAGAAATAAATAAACAAAGAATAATTTATTTCTTTTATTTTCGAAAAATGTGTTTCTTTACCTTTTAAAATTTTTTTTCTGAACAGTCCATTTGCAAACATCATTGAATGATGGTAAATTTAATATGCATTTATTGAAATAGACATACTGGAAAAATGTTAAAAGAAATAGATCAGTTTAAGAAATAATTTTCATCTATTACTTACTAATTTATGATCTAATTTAAGAATATTTGTCCAATTTTTATGAAGAAAAGTTATTACTTTATAAAAATCTCGATTACTATACGATATCATCTAGATTTACAAGAAGTAATAATATTTTGAAAGATTTATCGTATGGTCATATCTATGGTTGATATCTTTCAATAAGATTGAGTAAACTTCTCATCACATCTTTATGAAATTTACTTCATATTAGTTAAAAAGAAACACATGAAGGTAGAAAATAATGAAATAATACTATAAAAAAATATACAGACTCCTTTTTAAAAATTTATAACAAATACCAACAAAAATAAACAAACATCTACATTATTAATCAAAAACGTATTTTTTTGTTTCTTGATCGAGAGTATCTGAAACATTCACTTTTTTATTATATCGTTTGCATATTGTATCTAAATACAGATAAAAATAAATCATTTTTTATTATTTATGACATATGATTGGTTTTATACTCTCGTTCTTTCTGTCAAATGAGTGTGACAATTTTTCATACATGCTTCGATTTAAAAAAAGTTTTCATTCTTGTACCCTTTCATCTTGATTTAAATGATCGACGCCCGTCTTTTTCATACATATGTAATATTCTTCAATTGTTTTTTTCTAACAAAAAATAAACAGCACAAATAGATTATGATGCATATAGGAACCGATGATAACCGAAAGACACAATATGAAGGAAACATCTGTTGTTCAATCAACAACTGTTCATCCCAGAAGAAAGATGTATGGTGTACAAAATCAGAAACAAGCCAAATAAGTGATATTTCTGATTTTTCGTCGTGAAGGAAGAGTTTCCAAAAATTGAATTTAGCAACAAAAGTGTGGCAAACTTAATTTCCTAGATTTTATTTTCTGGGCAGACCTTTATACAAATCGATCTTCACGATGAAAACTGATATTTACTGCTTTTCATCATGAAGATCGATTTGTATAAAGGTCTGCCCAGAAAATAAAATCTAGGAAATTAAGTTTGCCACACTTTTGTTGCTAAATTCAATTTTTGAAAACTCTTCCTTCACGACGAAAAAATCAGAAATATCACTTATTTGGCTTGTTTCTGATTTTGTACACCAT